CCGTACTCAGGCACCCCGACGACCAGCACCAGACACACGGCCGACAGATCTGCCCGCATCGTCCCGCTGCTGCCCAGGTCGCCGTCGTCGCCGATGCTCCGTCGTCGCGTTGGCGCTATTGCCCTCACTCCTCCTCAGGTTGAAGAGGAAGCGCTCAGATCCGCCTCACTTCTATCAGATCGGTCCTGATTCAATTGGGTCTGATTCTAGTTGAAATCGAACCCGTATAATAACCGACCTGATTTGGTTACTTGGATCGGATCTATTTGATCAGGCCCGCACTACTCAAATCCGTTTGGAGTCCAGTTCGCCACCGGCCGCCTCGTTTGTTAGTCTTCTGATGCATTATTTATCTTTTGAATTATTTTTCTGTTAAATCTCAGTTTATTAGTTAATTGCATGAATAATATATCTCTACATTCTTATCATATATTCACTACGTAAATTATTTTTGTGAGTTGAGAGAACTGAATATGTGACTGTGAAAAAGTTGATATTGATCTTAGAACTTACGAAAATGATAATATATATTGCGAATAAATTATTCGAGATTGGAATTGTTTATGACTATGGTTGCAAATCTTGTTAAAATCCATCTATCACGCTAAATATTTTAATTAATTTCCTACCGAATATCATGATTTTTGGCGAAATGGTGCATTGTTCAAATTAAATCGCTGATTCTGATAGACCTCTGTCATCGTTTCGTATCATTTTTAGTATCAGAGCATGGTTCTAGTGTACGAATTTTTTATTTTTTTTATTTTTATTTTTTAGATTAGTTGATATTTTTTATTTGATATTAAAAAAAATCGCATTCATCTCATTTAGCTGTTTGTGCACACCATTCATCTCATCTAGTTGTTAGTGCATATCCACTCACACAGGTCTACCCTATCGATTAGGAGAGTCAAGTGAGTCAACTAGTGAGTCAAGCATGTCAGGCAGTACAAATCCCGAATTCTCTGAATTACTTAAGAAAATCGCTGAGTTAAACGGATAAATAAGTAACTTAACCCATGAGAGCAGAGCTACCCGTGAGACCCTGAATAACACCAACGAAAGACGTGCTACGTTAGAAGAAACACGGGTTACAACTCCGCCACGAGGTCAAGGCTATGAATACCCACCGCAAGGTCATGGGTACATCGTTCATCGACCCCCACCTCAACTTGTGCCTGATCCACCAACCTTTGATGGTAAGCTCGACCCATAAACTTTCTTTGACTGGCTGAATAGCATGGATCACTACTTCGATTGGTACGCCCTGACAGAATCCTAGAAAGTCAAGTTTGCCACAATGAAGCTCACTGGACCCGCCTGCTAATATTGGTCTAACTTAGAAATGATGATGCATATTAGAGGTGAGTTACCAATTTTTACTTGGCGAGAAAATGGCCGATGAACTGAAACAAAAATATCTCTCGCCATCGTTTATTTATAGATTGCTAGATAAGTGACATTGTCTTACTCAAGGAACCAAATCTACAAAAGAGTATGTTACTCAATTTGATGAATTGTTTACTCGATACAGTACCATAGAGCAAGAGGCACTAATAAAAGTCTTGTCAAAGTTTAGAGCCGGATTGAGAAGTGACCTCCAAACCGAACTCTTTGCTCGAGGAGTAGACACAATTGAGAGAGCTTAC